CAATTTTATTTTTCTCAAAAAATATTCACAAACAAATATTAGGTATTTTGAAATCAACAAATTATTCTTTTCCAGCTTAAATTCAACTCATTTTTCGCACTAGAAAAACGATTTCTTGGGTATTCTGATGAGGTAAAGCTAGCATAAATGAGCAATACGCTCTATAATCCCCTATTTTTGGCTAAAAGCCTTTTACAGAGAAGCTGTATTTCAAAAAAAACCATTTAGGAATGGATCATCGTTCTTCCCTTTTATGAATTGTAGTTTTCTAGTTTTCCCAGCTCACTTTTTGCACTAGAAAAACAATTCCTGGTGAGGTAAAGCTAGCATAAATGAGCAATACGCTCTATAATCCCCTATTTTTGGCCAAAAGCTTTTTACAGAGAAGCTGTATTTGAAAAAACTTAATTTTTCGTCTCATCTTCTTGGCACTGAGTGTTTGCTAAAATAGGTGATTCTGAAAAGTTTAAATCAGATTAAATTTGTATTAATCAAAAGATTTTCCCTATTTTAAGTAGGTCCGATTTTAGGTTTTGAATGAGACCCATTGCCTATTCATTAACCCATTAAAAACTTGTCTAAAGGCTGGGCACTTAAAAAGTGACCAAGTCACTTCAGCTGAAGAAATCTCTTAGTTTTTTTTGTTCAAAACTTTTTGAAATATAGTCAAGTTTATTAAAAAAAATCTGGTAAGAATTTATGGTTTTCGTTTTTTGAGAAATTTGATTGATTGATTTTGATTGATTTTGATTGATTTTGATTGATTTTAATTGATTTTAATTGATTTTAATTGATTTTAATTGATTTTAAGAGAGCAAACTTTTTCCAAGAACTTTCTTTCCAATCTAATCGTTAGTGTTGATCTAAATTCAACTCTTATACATTTTCTTTCATAATCATTTCACTTCAAAGCTTTAATCTTATTGTTTTCATTGATTTTAAGAGATTTTACTTTACTAACGATTAAGTTTCAATTGTAAATCATTATGCAAATTTACCGTATTTCTTCGAATAGAAGACCGGGTAAAGAGTATCATCGCGTACTCCTGCGTAGCAGCCCTTTTATTTTTTAAAGAGTATCATCGCGTACTCCTGCGTAGCAGCCCTTTTTAAAATTTCTTTTCTGCATAAAAGCTTTCAATGAAGTGCTATAGAGCTGGAAAATGGCTCAAAAATGCCACACTGAGCTAACAGATTTTTGAGCCATTTTCCAGCTCTATAGCACTTGATTGAAAGCTTTTATGCAGAAAAGAAATTTTAAAAGGGCTGCTACGCAGGAGTACGCGATGATACTTTTACCCGGTCTTCTATTCGAAGAAATACGGTATTTCAATCTTTTTGTAAACTTTTATGATTTATAAATTTGCGAAAACTGAAATTCATTAATTTCTTATTCATTCTTATATCATAACTATTTCTTTTTTGTCTATAATTTTTCATCTTCCTTTTCCATCTTCCTTTTCCATCTTCCTTTTCCATCTTCCTTTTCCATCTTCCTTTTCCATCCTCCTTTTCCATCCTCCTTTTCCTTTTCCAATTCCAAAACCTTTTCCAATCAAATCGAAATGAGTAAAAGATTAAAGAGAAAGAAAAATGAGAGAAGATTTAAAGGCGATTCTTTTCGTTTCTTTAGGACTCAAAGATCTCAATGAAGTGTGATAGGCCACCGTGAATGATAAATGAGGTGAGGATTTGGCATTTTCTCTCTTGGTTTGGGTTTAAGCCAAAAAGAGGGGAAAGTTTTGGATTTTTTTTCTCAAACAATCACTTGATTTTTGACGATTCTTCAGTGAGGAGATTGCTTGCTTTTTGCTTGAAAAACTTGAAACACAACAACCAATTCGTTTTTTATGCTTAGCAAGTAGATAACTGCTTAGCAAGTAAAAATAAAGATTTCCGTTCACTAGAATGTGGATTTTCCAAATTTTTAAGCACAAAGTAAAACCTTCAAAGCCTTTTGTTCTTTTTATTTTCCTTTATTTCATTTATAATTGTCTGTCGAATCTGTCAAATTCTATCAAATTCTATCTACAATTCGATTAAATTTAGATAATTTTATAAGACTAAAGACTTCCCGTAAATACTGTAGTACCCCATCCCCCTCGTACAGTCGCGTGTAGTCGCAAAAGTTTTTGAGTATTTCATTTTTTTTCGAAAGCGCCCGTACTTCCAAAAATGCGTCTTTGGTATCAAAAATAGCCCTGAATTTCAGCTATATTTTGATACCTAAGCCCGTAATGTATAGCATGAACCAAGTGTCGAGAAAATCTCGTTCAAAGCTAGACTACGCAACACTTCGCACCGTCATTATGGGGGTGGGACTATTACAGTATTTACATGTATTTAAAAAAACTAGACTTTATTAAAATTATTTTAAGAACCTTAGTCTTCTTATTGTCATTAGTCATTTTCATTTAGTCATTTTCATTACTCTTCATTTTCATTACTCCTCAAAGATCAAATCAATCAAATCAAAACTCAATAAATTCAATTTTGAAACTCACATACTTTTCTAACTTTGTTTTAGTTTAAGAACCAATTAGACACCGGAATCTTGTTAGAAAACGACACTTTTTTAGATCTCATACGCCAATAAATCCTCGATTTTTGTGAATCGATTTAAAATATCTTCATATATTTTAAATCGGATTCCTTTATGATTCAAATTATTATTCAAATCCTTATTATTCAAAACCTTATTATTCAAATCTTCATATCTTCAATATTTTGAGGAAAGTAAAAAGCCAAAATTTATTTCAACTTTTTTATATAATTTCTTCGATTCAAATTCTCTTTCCTTATTATTCAAATCTTTCCTCTTTAGTAAAGCTTTATATCTTTTCTTTCTTTTCTTTTAACTTTCTTTCTTTTCTTTGACCTTAAATCCATTTGAAAGCACCAAATTCCCACCGGAAAAAGGTTTCAAATTTACATTTTCACAGCAGAATTTTGCTTGTTTTATTTGAAAGTTTTCAGAAATGAAAATTTTCTCATACGTCTTGCTTTTTTTGGCCCTTTTCGTGTTATTTGTGTATTAAATCTTAAATCCAGCCTAATTTTATCTCAGGTCCTGGATAAGGGATCTATACTAAATGTCGTTTAGCTGTTTAAGCGGGCCCGTTTAGCCGTTTACTTAAATTCAGCCGTTAACGAATCATTCATTAACAGCTAGCCGCGTTAACGAATCATTCGTTAGCGGCTGAATTTTCGTAAACGGCTACGTGATATACAGTACTGGACAATGAAATGAAATTGATTTTGAGTTTGGATTGAACTCGCTGGGAAATGCTAAATCGGCTGAGCGGCTACCTATTGGACAATGAAATCTCATATTTGAAAAAGATCGTCACTTTTATGCGTCTGTAACTCCCTTGTCTTTACCGTATTTCTAAATATTAATATTACGTTGCGCAGCCCTTGAAAAGAGCTTTCAGAAAAATGTCAAACACTAATAGTTTGAAACTCAAAGACAAGGGAGTTACAGGACGCGGGAAAGTGACGATCGTTTTTCCAAATATCATATTTTATTGTCCAGTACTAATAATATTTTTTGAAGATTTAAAAAAACAAAAACAAAAACAGAAATCAAACAAAATATTTCTATTATAGATTGTTTTTTTATTTCTTTATTCTTTCCATAGTCACCTTTTTTCTTTTCTCTCAATTTGTTAAAGACAAAAAGAAAAAGGTGAAGCGACAATTATCCCGAGACTTTCCCATCGAAGAGCTTTTTTTTGTGGGGTGGAAAAAGGAAAATTGGAGAGAGAAAAAGAAGTGCTCACATCTATAATCACCTAAAAGTTTTTTTTTCTTTCTTTTTCTTTCTTTATTTTTGAAAAAAAGTATCTCAACTAATTGGGATGGATTCTAGAAAGCGAAATCCTTTGGGAGGGAGTTTCTTTAAGAAATACTTTCGATACGATCCTCACTTACTGTAAATTCACCTTCGCATCTCTCATTCGAGAAGCTTTTGGAGTTCCTAAACCAACCCTTTGATTTTCAATTTCAATTTGAGTTTCAATTTCAATTTGGAGTTCAAATTTGAATTGAAATCAGAAATGACTGATAGTGGAAAATGCTTAAAACTTGAAATACTTAGCTTATTCTTCTCCATAAAATCATAAGTATCTCCATAAAATCATAAGTACTAGATTTTCAAGATTAAATGTACTACTAGACCTTTTGCTAGATTTGAGTTTTTCAGATTACTGAGAAGCCTCTAAAGAAAAGTTTAAAAGTAAGTTCCTTTAAAAAGAAAAGAATCTTCTATTAGGTTGATGCAAAAGTCTTTTTCATTTTTTCGTACTTCTTTTGGAAAATAACAAAGTCATCAATTAACCTATGGTTTGCTCTAAATGAAAAGTGTTTATTGTTCAATTTCCCATCTTTTAAGTCAATTTGGGTTCACTTTCAAGCAAATTCGAGAGTGAAAACGGGGTTTTTCATAAAAATCTATAAAAACCTCTATAAAGAAATTGGCTGAATCAATTTCTCTGAAAATCTGAAAAAATATCTAACTTTTGTGTGCTCTATCTTTTATTTATTAACATCAAGATTGGTTTCCTTAGCTAAAGCGTCTAAAATGCATCATCGAGCCGTCGCCTTTTTGACTACCCGACTTCAGGCTCTCAAAAAAATCTAGACATAAGACATTTTAAACTCGTTTTAATGTCATTTTGCAGAAAAATAATTGGCCTTTCGAATGCAATAAACCGTTGTTCAATTGGTGCATTTGTTACTTTTTTAACGGAAGTACGAAAAAATGAAAAAGACTTTTGCATCAACCTAATATATTGATAGAAAATACCTTTAGAAAATATCTTTAGAAAATAGGAAAATATCTTTTGTCGATTTTTCTCTTTACTTTGTCATCCTTTTGCATTCATTTCTATCACATTTGTAACATTTCCTTCTACCAGATCTCTTTCAATGAGCATGGGCTGATCGTCACCTCTCTGATGTGTCTTTTGAGAGGCGTTTACCATTTCTTCTCAATTTCAATGCTCATTTTTGTGTCAAATCTCCCCGTTCGTTTCCCTATCACAATTCCCTGCAAGTTCACGAATCGGAGATCGGATACATTTACGATAACTCGATACCGAGTGCTGGTGAGTTAGGAGGAAATTGAAATGCGATTTTCTAACACGAATCCTAGCAGACCAGATTCTAAATTAGGTCTAAAGTTTAAAGTTTTAAGGTTCAAAGTTAGAGCTTTTACTATTAGAGGCCGGCGAGAGGTTAGGGTGAATCCCGGGTCTGAATCCTAGGCTGGAATCCAGGTCTGAATCCCAGGCTGGGTGAATCCGGGTCTGAATCTAGGCTGATGAATCCAGCCTGAATCTAGGCTGGGTGAATCCAGGTTTGAATCCTAGGCTGGGTGAATCCAGGTCTGAACTTGTGGCTGGGTGAATCCAGGTCTGGAATCCTAGGCTGGGTGAATCCAGGTTTGAATCCTAGGCTGCGAATCAGGTCTGAATCCTAGGCGGATGAATCCAGGTCAAACAAGAAGGCAAAGACAAACGATTGCTAAAAATTATTAAAACAAAAGGTTCCCAAAGAGTTAACACTTTGAAAATTTGAAAATGAGATCTCAATTTTCAGACAACAGCTCGTTGTTTCTCGTGCATGTCGCGACTATACGAGGCGATCTGGCCAGTTCTAGCAAATATTTATAAGGTGAGATCAAGCTTTTACTATTAGCTGAGATAAATAAATGAGAAAAACAACTTTTAGAAGCCGCGTAATTCACTGACGAGTGCGACGACGATTCTCTTGATCCGTCAAGGGTCCCCGTTGTGAATTGTCCGACGATTTGCGTTTCAATGGTCGAAGAGCCAAACATTGCAGGTAGGCATTTGAACAAGGGTTCGGGATTTTACTATTGAATGAATTTTGAGTCTTAACATTGCATTGCAATGTTAAGGAACTAAATAGGAACTATAAAGGAACTATAAAGGAACTTTAAAGGAACTATAAAGGAACTATGAAGGAACGATAAAGGAACTAAATAGGAACTATAAAGGAACTATAAAGGAACCATAAAGGAGCCATAAAGGAACTATAAAGGAACTAAATAGGAAATAAATAGGAACTATAAAAGAACTTTAAAGGAACTATAAAGAAACTTTAAGGGAACTATAAAAAAAAGTGTTAACACCTGAAAATTGAAAATCAGATCTCAATTTTCAGCTCTTAACCTCTCTTCAAAATCTTGAAAAAAGCCTAATTTGTAGGCGTTCGTGTTCGAGGATTCATCCGGGGATGCATGAACGATGTGTTGATAGGCGGTTTCAATCAAACGGTCGTTGGATGGTTGGTTAAATGTAGAAAACAAAACAAAAAACACTTTCAACATAAAACTGTAAAAGCAGGAAGAAATCAATGTCATTCTCAGGTATCGCTGGATGCATCGAGACTCGTGCCGACCCTATCGAAAGAAGGAACTTCGTAACGCTGCTGGGGCCATCTACCGACGATTCGCAGGTGAGAACAAGAGGCTTAACTTGGCGAACTTCTATGAACTTGAGAACTTTCCCCCAATAGTTACTATAAAGAATACTAGGTACTGATGCTACAAACTACAAACCCTCGTAGAAACCCGTAGAATAGAGATTTTTCCGTAAATCTTTTTTTTTTACCAAAACTTCCGAAATGACATCAAAATCGAGTTAATTCATCATTTTTATTCCGAAAAATGAGCCATTTATAGACGGACGAGACTACAAACCTGGAAAAAACGTTATATGGCAGCGTTGAGAAATACATTTGGCTGATGTTTAAGTAGCACAATGGTTTAACAGGGATGTAGAATTTGTAGCAAAAATACAGCCAAGTCAAGGGCAAAATCGGATCCCAAAATTTGGGCATAGTCACGGTGAGAACGGTAAAAATGGCTCAGTCGATCCTTCTCCCTTACGGATTAAAAGGGAAGCGCCTACATCGGACGGGTTTGCCAGATGGTGAGCGAATGTGATTGATGCTGCTCCAACTGCCGTTCTCACTGTTGTCTCCTTGTCCCGATCGAAGCGATGGAGTCGTTGTTGCAAGGAGCCATTTACTTCAGTGAAAATCTGAAGAAGATGACCATCTTGTGTGCCGATTGAGTCTTGAGTAGAGACTTGAGTAGACCTACTTCAAAAATGGAAGCACCTTGTATCGCGGCGGTTTGCCAGACGCTGAGCGATTGTGCGCGCGCACAAAAGAGCACGGCGGCAGTCATTTATTACTGGGATTTTGCTTTGTAGATGGCACAAAAATAAGATTGGTAGCTGCTGAAATTTTGTACTCCTGAGGTTTTCGGGTCGGGGAATCGATTAGAGATGTTCATTTTATTGAGTCGACTATTCTAGCCAATTCAGCTGGCCTCTGACCATTTATACCGGAATTTTCGGCTAAATAACATTTGCATTTGCAGATCGAAGTAGGACTTTGCCATGCGGATCATTGTAACGGTAGTTCATCTCTCAAATCGCTCAAGGCTTCCCATTTTTCCTTTATATGGATCGGCCCCTCTTTGATGCTCAGGTTATGAATGAAACGCCTAATTTTCTCATTTATTTCATTTCGTTTAGTGATACTTTTTTTTAAAGTGTTTAGGCATGACTTTTCTCTTTTAATTTCCCAAGCCCAATCCGTCTTTCAATAGGAATTTTAAAGCTTTTTTTATTATTTTTAAAAAACTATTTTTCCTTTTTCGAAATTTTTCTAACAGCAATACTTTGAACACTTTTATGCAATATTTTTCTTTTTCCTTTCTCTCCTCAGCACTTCTCTCAATTGATTTCATTGATTTACGGGTGTTTTTCTATATTTTCGAAGAGTGGAAATAAATATTTGAAAAGAAAACAGCGGTTTAAAAAGAAACTAATTATTGCTCTTCATCGGTCATCTTCCCTTCACCACCAAAAGCTATTTAGTTCCCCATTGAGCTTAGGGGTTAGGGAGCCACCTGTCGCTGACGTGGGTAAGTTAAGATATAGCCTAGTATTGTGTGTGTCAGTTGTATTTTGATTGATATATTTCGTGTATGCGATAAATTCACCAATGGTAGCCCCAGTCGGTATTTTTTTAATTAGGTTTTTGCATGTGAGTTTTTCCTCTCGATTTGTTTGTTTATTTCTTGCTTAAAAGTCACTACCGAAAAAAATAACGATCTCTAGTTAGATCAGACCAGGTTTAGTTGGGTCTAGCTTCTGGTGAATTTGGGAGTTTTTGGGAAGCAGAACCTGAATGAAGCCAAATAAGGTCAGGAATCGGGCTCTTGATCTGGCCTAGTTCTGGGGAAATTCCGGTTAGAACAATTCGAGCAGCAGTTGCGGTGTCTAGTAACTTTCTCAGGACATGGTACACTTGTCATTGTATTTGGGAGAAAGTAATGCGATCAATTTCTACTTAACCACTAATTTCTACTAATAACTTTCTCAAAAGACGGTACACTTTGAAGTCATTCTATTTGCAAGTGAAAGTAATGCGATCAATTTCTACTTAACTGAAAAAGTAAATTATATCGTAAGTAAAGGAAATAATTCAGCAACAACAATCCTTTTCAAGTGTTCGATACATTTACGAAGAGCATTTGGCAAAAAGAATCCAAACATCAGGGAAAAGGATAGATCGAAGGAGAATACGTACATATCATTGTTGGGTAATTTCTTCCACTCTTGTGAATTGACTCAAGCTAACCCAGTTTAATCTTAAGTTTAACCAACTTTCCCAATCAGTCCACAGAAATGCTGCAAAAGATCAATCACGAGTAGAAGAGCTTACCCAACAATGGATATAAATAACTTGTACTTATCTATCTTTCCTGATGTTTTTGAATGCTTTTTGTCAAATGCTTTTTGTTTTCAGGACGTAAGCTTCTAGTCTGACTTAAAAGATCACTTCATTTCACACAAATGCTACAAACGATCAATTCACGAGAGGAAGACTTAAAGCCAAGCTCAGCTCGTGAAGTCGCCCGGTCATAGCTTTTCACAGATGCAGAAACTGCAACTAAAGCCTGCAATAAAGCTAGTAATTTCAGGATTTGATCTACCCTTGGAGTTTTGATTTGAAACATTTGAAACATCTCTCAAAGCGCATTCAAACTTCTTGAATAATGTGAACACTTTTATTGGAAGCTCATTGAAGCTTTTTCCCAAATCCTAAATATTATATTGCTTGATTGTTGCTAAAATTTAATCCAAAATTCATTTTCTTAAGGGCACAGGGCAATAAAAGAAGGCATTTTGGACACCCAAAAAACGGATCCATTTATGATGCAAGGGTAAAGGAAATAAAAAGAAAAGATGGGAAAAGATGAGCAAAGAAAATCAAATTAATGTCATCACAGATGGGAATAGAAGATGGAAGAGATGAGGGAAAAAATAGAAAAATTTTGTGAATGATGAGATGGGAGAAGACCCCAGAGATCGGTTTTGTGTTCAACAAATGTTTGTTTGGAATTTTTTGATTATCATAGTTTTTGTTGCTTCACAGTAGACTATTCAAATTCTTTTACGAGTGTTTTTCCTGTCTTCTTTTTGATTATCATGGCTTTAAATCAGGCCAGAATCAGGCTTCTTTGATCTGGCCTAGTTCTGGAAATTCCCGTTAGAACAATTCGAGCAGCAGCTGACCTACCGTAAATACTGTAATAGTACCCCAGCCCCTATCGTACAGTCGCGTATGATGAGATGGGAGAAGACCCCGGAGATCGGTTTTTTGTTCAACAAATGTTTGTTTGAATTTTTGATTATCGCTAGTTTTGTTGCTTTGCGGGTAGACTATTCAAATCCCTCTTTACGAGTGTTTTTCTGTCTTCTTTTTGATTATCATGGCTTTATTTCTTTACAGTATAGTTATTCAAATTCTTTACAAGTATTTTCTGTCTTTTATCAAGTTTTCAAGAGTTACTAACAGCAATCGTTCGATTGCGAGGAAAGAAAGCGTTTTGAAATCCCTGTTCAAAGATCAGATTGAGCTAGAAATAGTTGTCAAACAAGGATTTTAATTTATAACAGTTTAAAATGGTTATTCAGCAAGGTTCAAAGTCTATTTATAGACTTATTTCTTTGTCTAAGATTCATTTTTGAAGTAAAATTGGCTCCAAAAGAGCGGAAAAATCACTTGTTTCTTCAACCACCCACTCAAATATGAAAACATCATATTTATTTTGATTAGAAAGTTGATTCTTTCTTTGTTTTATTAAGATTTTGACAATTTCGGATTTTTCTGATCATTAAGTTAATAAATCGCTTGTGTTTTTTTTGTTTTCTAAATAAATATTAGTTTAATATGTTAATATTAGTTGGGGTTTTAACCAGGGCGTTCACTAGCGGCCGCAATTATCGTGAGACCTGTAAATTTAAAGGCTTTAAAAAGAACAGCGAAAACCTATCTTCGGATAACTGCAAGTAAAAATTGAAGCTGCAAGCAGTTGCACCGTGTAGATTTTGAAAAACCAATAAAATATACGTGCTTCCCATAATCGATTACCGCTGGGTGAAAGTTTCAGCAAGAAAGGCAAACATTTGCACCAAGGGGATTCGAACCTCTGACTGCCCGCTCGCTCGGCAGTCCCTCCTTTTAACCCTCAACCATGAAAAGGGTACGGACGGACGCGTTAGACTTTTATATATATGTTGTGTCCGATTTAGATTTCCGTCCGATTTTGATTGAACTTATCGCGGACGTCCGATTTAGATTACAGTCTATATCGGACGTCCGATTTAGATTCAATCTAAATCTTATATAGATTGAACAATAATATAAACATGCCTAATATATGCTCTTAAGCGTTTTCTGTAGTTTTCTTGCATTTTAAAGGGGTCTTTTATTGATTACAGTCTATATCGGACGTCCGATACAGATCGAACAATAATAAACGTGCTTAATATATGTCCTCGGTTGTCTGTGATCGGTTGTCTGGAGAACGTTTTTAGACAAGCTTAATCAAGCACCATCTATATAAGATTTAGATTGAATGTAAATCGGACGTCCGATATAGACTGTAATCTAAATCGGACGTCCGCGATAAGTCCAATCTAAATCGGACACAACTATATATATGTCGTAGCCGCTGGTGATTTTCAGCCACTAGTGATTGAATCACCATCGGCTAGGCCGATGGTGATTGAAAGTTTTTTAATGAAACATTTGGAATACAATGCAGATTTTATCTCACGATTACAATGCAGATTTATCAAATAAAAAAACTTAGGGTTAATAGGACTAAATATTTAACACTTCGGGAGTGTAACTTCCGTTGTCAAATCTTTAGAAAAGATTTTTCGAAAATTTTTTTAAAACAATCCACTCATTCCATCTTTTAGACACAAACTATTACTTTCTTCGGTGTTTAATGAGTAATAATTTTTATTTTAAGTAATAGTTGAGTAATAATTTTTATTTTGAAGTAATAGTTGAGTAATAATTTTTATTTAATAATATTGATAATAATTTCAATCGTTTCTTTTTTTCGATTTATCTCGTGTATCGTTGCAACTTTTCTAGTTATTTTTAGAAATGGAAAGTAAATTTGTCGATCACCTTACGCAACATCAATCTACGAAGAAATACAATTGGATTCCTGATGTCAGCAAAAACGCCGAAATAGTGAAAACGATCAAACGAATAACCAGTGAAGATAAAAAGGGAAAAAGGACTCCTGAAGAAATAAATTTGTTGGCGCGCTTTTACTTTTGGCAAAAAGAGAACGATCTGGACATCATTTGGCCAACATTGGAAGAACTGGAGAAATGAAACGGGTGATCATCAAGGAAAATCTCTGAACTGTTGATGAAAACAATACATAAGGATCATGGACACCCCTGGAAGGGACATAATGTGGAAAGCACTAAGGGAATATCATGGAATATCGAGATTTTTGTCAAACTCTGTTCTGCATGTGAATTGGAAGAAAGGCACGCTGAAAAAGGAGTCGTTGCCGGCTTCTCAATCATCACCAAACAACAAAGTGAGCGGGCCCAAGTGGATCTGATCGATTTGCAATCAGTACCAATCAGTAAATGGTCGATGTGGCATGCCAACCGTCGAACGTTTTGGGCAGTACAGTCGACGTCACAACAGCAATCCCTGCTCAAACAAGTAACATTTAATTTTTAGTTATTTTTAGTTAAACTTGATTTGTTCTAGCATTTTGTTGTGTTGCACCTTAGGGAAGTTGTTAATTAATTTTGTTGTTGTTAAGCTTCGTTTGCTTATTACATGTTTGCAATAAATTGTTGAAAAGTGAATAAAACTTGCAATTCATAAAGCAAAAATATTAAGCAAAAATTTACTTTCTGTTTAGATGACATAGTTTTTTCGAATTTGGCAACAGAAGTTACCTCCCGAGGTGTTAAAAATATTTGGTCCTATTAACCTAACTTTTTTATTTGCATGTGAGATAAATCTGCATTGTATTCCAAATGTTTCATTAAAAAACTTTCAATCATCAGCTA